GATTTTTCTTTTATGCCAAAAATCATTAGGATATTAAGTAAAGATCATGTTCCATTAAGATAATTTGTAAATTTCCTACCGTAAATATATAACAACTTAATTTTTGATTAGTAATATGCATTGCTAAGAACTTCATTTGGGCAACTTTAAAGGCGATTTTCTCAATACTTTGATTCCAGATATTCAAATAGTTGAAACTAGTGAAAAATTACTTCAAAGTGAACTGTCCTTTTGTCAAAATGAAGGGGGAAAAAAATATTAAAAGAATGGAATTCATGAAATGAAAATTAGTTTGATAATTCAAATAGTATCTCGGCCAAATATGGTCCTATCTTAACAAACCATACATCAATGGAAAGCTTATTTATCAATTTAAAACACAATTTTACTGGTTTTGTGGTCCAGGGTCAAATTTTAGATATCAGCTTAGATATCAGCTTGTTTACAATGTTTAAAACTTTTATTATCTATCTGTCTGTCTGTTTGTCTGTCTATCTATAAGGAAAGTAGAAAGTAATACATTTATTTAAAATATATTTGTTAAGTAATAATTATTTATAGTTCATACTTAATACATATTATTTATAATACAAAATATAAGCATCATTATTTAAATAATCCTAAAGAGTAAATAAGTGTAATTATTTTTCTATCTCCGTTTATCAATCTGTATATCAAGAAAGGAATAAATAAATACACGTCTTTATTAAAAAAGTATATATTTTATTGTAATTTGTTTTCATAATACAAAATGTAATCATTATTGTAATGATTTTAGATATATCTGTCTATCAAGCTATATATCAAGAAAGTAATAAATTTTTTAAATAAATATTTTAAGTTATATTTATTGGATCATAATAAATATAAGCATTATTTTTAAATTATTCTAAATCGTAAATAAGTGTGTGTGTCTGTCTGTCTGTCTCTATCTATCTATCTATCTATATATATACACACAATATTTTAAAGCATTCCTTCCAGGTTTAAATTAGATTCTCAAAGTCTCAGACTTTTGGTTTTCACTGTGTATATACCTTAAAAAAACACTGTGATAACTAAGAGTGGTACAAAGTAAACTGTTGTTAAGGGTTAGATGATGTTTACCGGTTTTGCTATTTGGTTCCCATAAGTTCCAACATATTTCTGTAACTCTGTTTGAAAGGGATGTATCGGATTAGATCTAATGTGTATCTTGCCGTGACTGGTCATTTATAAAGCGTGCATCATGATGAGCCCGGTCATTTGTCCCTGTGCAGAGCTGCAGGAGTTGGACGTGGGACAGTGGGACATTCATGCCCTCTCGGAGGCTCTCATTCGGTACCTGCAGGAACTTCCTGCCCCCATCATCCCTCCCTCTGTTTATACAGACCTTCAGGCAGCAGTGAAGCTAGAATCGGGTATGTGCCACTTTTCACTCATCCGTGCAGGCAGAAAGAGCACCGTGTAAAGAAAGTAACAGAACTCAGCGAGCAAACAGCTCCGAGTGTCTGCCATGCCTGATGACCCACGCGCTCACACTGATGTAACTCATGAATAGACGTCCCGTCCGAGAGGAGACGCGAGCAGCTGCTGCAGGGGCTGGAAAAGCCTGAAGTTCCACTGCAGAACCTCCTGACGCTGCATTATTTGCTCAGACACCTGGAGAAGGTCTGCCAGCGCGCCGAGCAGAACGGCCTCGACATTCACACCCTCGGTCAAATCTTTGGCCCTCTGCTGATCAGGAGCCCTGTGAGCGGGTGAGAGTGAGGTTTCTTTTCTTGTATTTCTATTGGCTGGAGACTAATTCTGAAAATCCGTTGCTGAAAAATAAACCATCATCATTTCTATGTGTTTGATTTACAGGTCAGAGGAAGATGAGGGGTTTCCTGCGGTTGCAGTTGAGAGACTTCTTTTGGAGAGAATTTGGGAACAAGAGCCGACTCCTCCCGGTGAGTCACCTGTCATTTTTGCCATTGTGTATAATAGCTATGCTTTTTTTTATTCGCAGATTAAACTGTTGTCAGGGGGGATTTATTATGTGTTTTCAAACCTTTTGGTGCAAACATGATCTGATACCTTTGTGAGAGACCCCTGTCTTAAAATAGAAATGCAGTGCTATGTTTTCATCTATAAAGTATTTCCGGAGTTAAAGGGTTAGTTCACCCAAAAATGAAAATTCTGTCATTAATTACTCACCCTCATGTCGTTTCAAACCCGTAAGACCTTCGTTCATCTTCGGAACACAAATTAAGATATTTTTGATGGAATCTGAGAGCTCCCTGACCCTGCATAGACAGCAATACAACTGAAATGTTCCCAAGTCCAGAGACGTAGCAAGGAGATCTGTAAAATAATCCATGTGACATCAGGGGTTCAACCGTAATTTTACGAAGCTACGAGAATACTTTTTGTGCGCAAAAGAAAAAATTACGACTTTATTCAACAATTCGTCTCCTATGCTGTTTTCGTTCAGATCAAATCACAACAACGTAGGAAACGGATCCGGCGTGACGCAGCTGACACAGAACAGCATACGCTGTTTACATCCAGCTGATACGCTCCAAAATGGCGCTACAGGGTGATGCGAAGGAGACGAATTGTTGAATAAACCACATAGCCGCTCTTTAGTGTTAGATGCATGTTGATTTTATCAGACGATGCCGCGGTTATAAATGAGAGTGACTCCTGGTTAACGTATTAAAAGGGGTCGTGTTTAGTCACTATTTAGTGTGGTATTTTTTGACAATATTCACTCATCATGACAGTAAAATAGGGCATTTTAAGTCGAAATACTGCAGTATTTCCTCTCTCAATCAGTAGAAGATATGGTTAACACCCGGTCATGCATGAAAAAAAAAATACCATCATGTACCGTGAAACCGGTATAATTTTGAAAAATACCTGGTCATACCGCCCAGCACTACTTCAAAGACAAAGCTAATGATTAAGGTATTATCTGGAAAATTTACTTCATTATTTACTAAGTTGACAATGTATCTTTTTTTCACTCTCTTTTAGTATCGTCTGTAATCCTAAAGAGAAACATTTTCAGTTAAATAAATTTGTATAATGCTTTTCACAGTAAATATTGTTTGTCGAAGTTAAAGCAACTGTGGTCAGGAAACGGCTTCGGTTACACTTCAGTAAACAATTTTATTTCCATTTTTCCTTCTTTATGTAGCTGCATATTTTAAACATTTATTTATTTTGCAGTATGTCTTGCTTTCATTATAAGTGTATTTACAGTAAACATGATTCGGCCAATCACAATGCATTGGATAGCTGGCCAATCACAGCTCACCTCGCTTTTTCAGACCGATGAGCTTTGTAAAAATTGACGCGTTTCAGAAAGGCGGGGCATAGAAGAGAAACAATAATGTACAGTATGTGGAAAATAATGTGTTTTTTTAACCTTAAACCGCATAAACACATTTCATTACACCAAATACACAAAATAATGTTCTTTTTAGCAACATCATATGACCCCTTTAAACTGTTATTTTAGGTTGTAATAGTATTTCACACTGTTACTGTTAATAAATATGATAAACACAGCCTTGTTGAGCATAAAAGTTGTATTTCAATAAAATCTTTTTGACCCCTTAAAAAATTGCAGTATGGATTTGCAGTAAAAAAAATCTATCAAAAAAAGCTTCATCTTCCCTGTAGTGTAGACTTAAACTCTACTACAGAAGAGAAAACCTCATGTCGTTGTTTAATATCTAGGCTAGTAAGCGAAAGGTTGCAGGGCTGATCCCTAAGCGATCACCATTACGCCCTTGAGCAAGACAGGTGGCTCCAGAGACTGTGCCTGTAATATAACCTTGCACGTTTCCATGTTGACGACGTATGAAAGTTGTTAAAGCAAATGTTGGCCCCAGTCATGTGGGAATAAATAAAAATTTATTTATTTTAATCGTAAATATTTGTATCCTATTTGCCTTGTTTATCCAGCTCTCCCTCCTAAACCGCCCAAAGCCAAAGCCATGGCCTCATCTGTGACCAATGGAAACAACAGCTTACTGAGTGAAGCTGAATGGTACTGGGGAGACATTTCTAGGTAAATCACTGACATAATTACCTATACTGCTGTAATCAAGATAATCATGCATTTCTGTACATGATGAATCTCTGTTTGATGCCCATGGTTTTAGAGAGGAGGTGAATGAGAAGATGAGAGACACTCCTGATGGTACGTTCCTGGTGCGGGATGCATCAAGCAAAGTGCAGGGAGAGTATACCTTGACCCTCAGGTGAGCGCCTCCTCAGACCAAACAGTGGTTCTCGTCATGTCTAATATGAGATGGATACTTTGCGTAGGTGTGCTGGTGTATCATTCGTTTGATATGCACCATTACCAAGAGGACTTTCTAACAGAGACAAGACACGATCAAAGCCTTGTTATGTTTATTCCAGGAAAGGAGGCAATAACAAACTGATCAAGGTTTTTCACCGCGGGGGGAAGTATGGCTTCTCAGAGCCTCTTACTTTTCTCTCTGTGGTGGAGCTCATCAACCACTACCGGCATGAGTCACTGGCCCAGTACAACGCCAAGCTGGACACTCGCCTGCTCTTCCCCGTGTCTAAATATCAGCAGGTGCGATGACTCCACTCTTCAAAATGCTCAAACTGATGGCGTCTTTTCCCTGAAGTGGTAGTTCATGAAAAAATGAAATATTTGTCTTTATTTACTCACCCTCATGACATACCAAACCGATTTTAAAGGGGTCATATGATGTTGCTAAAAAGAACATTATTTTGTGTATTTGGTGTAATGAAATGTGTTTGTGGCTTAAGGTTCAAAAAACACATTATTTTCCACCACTTTACAGATCTTCTTTATGCACCAAGAGCTTGTAACACTCCAAAGAGAAAGGAAAACTTGAAATCGCATCATATGACCCCTTTAAAAAAAAATCTTCACATGGAACTTTTCCATACAATAGTGATCACAGACTTTTAAAGGTGCCATAGAATGCATTGATGCAATATTTTAAATTGTTCTCTGATATCTACATAGAAGATATGTGGCTTAGGTAAGGGCAAAAAATCTCCAGAAACGGTTTTCATGTCCATTTACAACCCTAGGATTTGTCTCTAGAATGAAATGGTCTGTTATTACCTTATTTGGAAGGGTCATGAATAATAATGTTGAGCTCTGCTCTGATTGGCTGTTTCACAGTGCGGCTCAACGTTGAGCTCTGCTCTGATTGGCTGTTTCACAGTGCGGCTCA